GTCTCAGTCCAAGATATGTAAGAACTAATAATGTTGTTCTTTGATGCTCAGAATCATTTTCTCCACTAAGCCATCTAATTAGTCTCATAAAATTGTGGCAAAGTAGCCTCAAATCTTTTCCAGTGAATCTGTACTGGAGATCTTTACCCTTTCCTTGTGTCTCATCAAACCAGTTTTTTACTTTCCTCGCCAAACATTTGGCTTTCACCTCAAACTGTAGTGCAGTCACAACCCGTGAAATTATGCTGTCATTGGGGATGTCTGAGAACTTTTTGCAGCTGTCTGCAATATTTGATTTTGCACGTGCCTCTTTTAGCACTTCTTTGAAGAAATATTGCCATGCATTGTTCTTAACATGTAAAGGTTCCACGTGGGCATGGTCAATCAATTTGCCGATGAAGGGAACAAACTCTTGTCTACTTTTTTTACGCACTATGAATTCAGTGACTTTGCTACGAAATTGCTTTTCCTTTAGCTGTTTCTCAGACAAGGTTTTTTTAAATTTCTCAACCTCATTTCCAATTTTAATTCTGTCCTCATACTTCCATGGATGCCATAAGCTTGTCCTATCAGTTACAAATGTCTCCTTCAGGTCTGTGCTCAACAGAAAACTGTGTAAACGTTTCCTGCTCTTTATAAAACGTGACAATCTATCAAGTGGTGGATTGTACCGGTTGTAAAAGTACAGTAATCCATTGAGAGCACATTTGAATGTAACATGAAGGCCCTCAATTTCAAAGACTTTGTTTTCTATCTCACAAATTTTTTTGCACAAGAACTGACAATACTTACGCACAACAAGTCATGTTTCCTCACAATTTCCACCAAAAATAATAAAGTTGTCATTGCTCGATGCAACTCGTTTACCTACATTCATGCGGTTTCAAACCCCGGCCAGACCAATTGTCAATCAGGATCTTTAAATAACTGACGAGAAGTGCTGCCCGTTGTCATCTGCAAACAGTTAGACTTTCTAGTCTTCTTCGAACTAAAAAAACCTGTAGGCCCCGTCTCACGGTCCTTGTTCATATAAATGCTGTGGGAAGTTAAAGAACCTATCACTGTTTGTAAAGAGTAGGCTGAGTAGGGGACCCATTTACCTTCCAAACGGATTTCCCGGAAGCTTTTTGAAAATGGTAAACTTTGAAATGAGCAGTTGTCATCGTAAAAGCAATTTCAATCCAATATGTACCTGCACAGAGTGTTATGGTGGAGCTATTATACCTCAAATTACTTTGAAAGCCGCAAAGCATTCTGCATTCTAGTTAATAGTGGATCAACTCTTTTAACCTATACAAATTCTCGAAATTGGTCTCTATTCATTTCCTTAAAAGGATAAGTTGAAAGAATTTGATAAAAGATCAAAGCATTTTCTCTTAGGTGATAATTTTATTAATTCTAAAAACCTAATCTCTTGGCCTTGTATGTGAGTCAGAAGAAAATTGATGTTGGTCACTATTGGGACTTAAAGGGTTAAAACAAATAAAAAGAAATAATCTGTTTTTTGCTAGTTTAATTTGTTCGTATGTTTGGCCTTTCCTATGCTTAAAAATGTGAATCATTGTTTCACATTTTTCTTTAAATTCACTACCGAAATGAATTGCTTTAAGTGAGTTGTATTTTCCATTTTATCCCGCTTTTACCTCTGGTTCTTTCACTTAAACCACTAATTTGTAACACGGTTGACTTTTTTATATGACACAAATATCCCGGAAAACATAGAACAAACAATTTTGTCGTCATTTTGACCTTAACATGCTAAATTTTGTGTACTTTCAGTTAGGTGATGTTTACTTCCGGTCAAAATGGCGGCCATTTGAGTAATACTCCAAAAACCGGTTTAACCGGAAAAATTTGCGATGGCACCATATCACATATTAATAGCCACAATTAGTTTACATAAACAATTTCATCGTCATTTTGGCTTAAAAAGTTCTTAATTTTGTGTACTTTCACTTAGATGATATTTACTTCCGGGCAAAATGGTGGCCAGTTTAGTTTTCACTCCAAAAACCAGTTTAAAATTTGCAAAAATTTTGGAAAATTTGCGATGGCACCATATCACATATTAATAGTCATAATTAGTTCTGTCATTCCTGAAAATTTGGTGCTTTTAACAAAAAGTGAACAATCCGGCCCAAAATCTGCACATATCCGCCCCACTAAACATAAAAATTATTGTTCACATCCCATGAGCTATAGTATTTCTGAGACCTCTGAGATGTCTGATTTTCTCGAAAAATCAGCCTTATCCCGGTTTAAGGAATCTGTGAGTGTTTCGATCAATGACAGCCTAAAATATGTAAAAAATCAATGTGTTAGTTGGAGGTGGCCTTTAAAGTCGCTTTCACATGCGATTGTTTAAATAGCTGGTATGACCTCAAGACGATTAAAGTACTGGCAATCAGCTATGTCAACATTCTAAACGCGTTTTTAGAAGAAAAATGTCGCTTAAAAGTAAAACCAGACTGTCCCAAGATTGAAGGTCGACTGAGACGACTTTGTTCGGAGAGTCAGTGCCAATTAAGGGGGAAGAATGGGGGCACTCGCCAAAACATTGCCAGCAAGGTTTGTCACGTGGAATTTCTGAAAAGTGAACTAGTGGACATAAGGGAGGTTAAAAACAAATTAGAACAGTTAAAGACTGAAAAGGAGAATCTACAAAAATAAAATGTCAGGCTTCACGAAAGGTGTGACCAGCTGTATAAGGAACTGTTGAAAGTTGAAGCAATAGGAAAGAAGGCAGAGGAAGAACTAAAAATGACATTTGTTGATCAAGAAAGGCTGAAAAGGAAAATGCTCATCTTCATCAATACCTGGACAAAATTGAGGAACAAAAGCAATTTGCAACTAACCAATGTAAAACCCTGTGAGTTTTTACCCTGTGAAAAAACCTGTGAAAGACCCTGTGAACTTTCACAGTGTTTTTCACAGGGTAGAAAATGTCAAAACCTGTGAACACGGCATTTTTCACAGGTTCCATCCGTGTGAAAAACCCTCTGAAATAGGAGTTTACCTGATGCTCTGATATATGCAGGCCATTTGGTTCAATTCAGAACCTTATTACATAATTAATTACTTGCAAAAACATTTGGCTGTAAATTAAAGTTCACAGCATTTGTGGTACTCTAATTATTATAATGAGATATCACAAGCATCTGTTTAAAGGTCTTTATGAGAAAAAAATCTAGATCTGCTGGCAGAATATAATATATAATGCTGCAGGGCATTAATATTTTGACAGCATTGAAAATATGCCTGTACAGGTATAATATTATTATAGTTTATATGTTCATGTATGAGTTGCAATTAGCCAGAACAATTTCAGACGAGCACTGCAGTGTACGTTGATGAATGAAAAACAAACACACATTAATGAAAAGATATGCATACTACAACACTCATTTCAACCTTACTTACTTTTGAATGGTGTAATCCAATCCATGCCTAGCTGACAAGGAAGATGCTTTTGGTTTCAATTTTCTTCACAATCCAGGTACCATGCAGTCATAATTTTATTGTCTTGAATTAATTACATGCCCAGTCATTGACACAATTATATACACTCACCTTATAATCAGATTAGCAGATCTGATCTGAGGTCATCATCATGATGTGTAAAAATTACCACAACAATACTGCAGCTTGCATGTACATCAAAAAATTCCAAGTTTTAATAATTAAGAGTCAATGTCAGTAAGAATCGGAGATAATCCCAAAATCACGGACACAGCTCAAAATTCGTTTTCGCTGATACTTTTTACATTGATAGAGTATTGTATCGTAGTTAACAAAATAGGGTTAGTTTTGTCTAATTTTTGCGTTCATAAGGGGAATTAAATAAAATCGGTTGGGTCCGTTTTGCACCAAAATGACCTCTTTGATGAACCGAAATTTTACTATATTCGTGACTCTTTCAAGTTTGCGGGGTAAAGCCTATAAATGATTTCTTACTATGAATAAATAGCTTGTCCCTTGGTCAATTAAATATTGTCTATAATGACTGATAATTTATTTTATATGACTCGTAGAGAGCTTTTCGTTGAAGGCACTTCGTTGCCTTTTCTGAATCGCTCTAAAGTGACATAAAAGACTTGCCTAAAAATCCGGTCGGTACGCCAAAATATATCCTCAGACTAAGCTTTCTCTACAGTTTAAGGATAGATGTTTTATATTTCATTTTCATTTCTTTGGGATCTTTTTCAGTTTTTCGATACGACTGCCCCGAAGATTGCTAATTTGCAAGATTTTTCGATGACCGCCATATTGAAACTGCGAGAAAGTACCGTACAAAAATCGTATTACTTTTGGATTAATTGAGTCTAAAATTATAAGTGCAAGTGAGATTTAGCTTGGTATATCACTAAGTCGCTGCCCTTACGTTATTTTTAAAGTTAACGGCAGTTTGGCAGTGGCTTATAGGATTGAGACTCCATGCATGATATCGTGACATTGATTTCCTACACGTCACGCACCGACCTTTGACACCGTTATTAGACTTCACATAACGTCGAATAACGTATGAGCGATTCCTGCTTTGAAATCCTCCGCTATATATTCCGTTTCCTTTAGAGGAAAGGACTTCACGAACTCTTTTTTTTTGGACCGCACGAAGCCATTATGCAAATACAGAACACCTGTGTAAATAGTACATCGCGACTTCGCGGTTGTCAACACGGCATTTAAACTGAAACAATAAAAAATCTATGGCTAAAGATCCCTTCAAAACTGAGAAAACTTTGATTTGGACTGGCGTAAAGTCCCTTAAAATGAAAATTGGGATTGAGACTGGCATAAACAAGATGCATCAAAAATATATTTACGTTTGCAGCACTTGATAATTGAATTACTTTGGCGTACTTATAACCAGTATTGTGTTATCATTGTTAAAGTCTACAAGTCTCTCTCCAAAAAACTAATTTTCACCGTAAATTTCTCAAGGAAGTAAAATAGCGCCGAGTTAATCGTTAAACGTAAACGTTGACTTACAATATTGAGCGATGGCGTGTACCTTCTCACTTTTGGTCGGTGGAGAATGCGGGGCTGATCCAAAGTCAAAGACTGCGTCGCGTAAAATCGTACCCTTGGTATCATGCTCAAAGAATATATCGAGCCACAAAAAACAGCTTCAATTCAGTGGCTGCGAAACGGAAATTGAGCTTATTCTAGCCCGCAGTGGTTGTTTCCAAACGCCAGAAAATATCCACGACATGACTATCTGTCCGCTGCACCGCGTTAGTTTGGGTATTGGGTGGCGAAGGTCTAAGCGGGTATGCAGTGTTCCAGGCAAACTCTCTGGACACAGTGAAGAATCCAAGAAAAATGGCGAGCGGGGTTGTAGCTTGGCTCAGTCGAAGTACATATTGGAAGCCACTGGTGAATTCATTCCAGTTGGTTCAGGTAAATATAATCCTTCTTCTTTTGTAATACTTGCGGGAGTAAAACATTTGTTTATAACGTATGACGTCATATAACACATCAAACATATCTCTGCCGTCGTTAAGATGGTGAGTCAGTTCAGTTAGCTGGGCTGGCCCGTTTTATTGGAATGGTTCGACTAATACCTTGATTCCCTTTAAAATTTCCGTTTTGTTAATATATGAAGCCGGACTGACCAACTTGCAGAAATCTCTCCTCAGGCAACCAGTATCTCGTCAGCCTGGTCTCTCATATAAACATAGCAAAAATTTTATAAGGACACAGGGTATAAGCCGAGCCAGCCGGATAAAGCAGGCAAGCTGGGCTAATCGGGCTGGCTCACTTCACATAAACAGGCCTTTAACCCTATGTTAATACTATGCAAGATATCTTTGTTCCGGCAAGAAAACCAAACCCGGGATAGGGCTTTTGTTCACACTCAAGAACTGTGACTTCGGCGCCATTTCTGGAAAGGAGCCAAGCTGCGCCTTACCGATTTCGAAGGGTAACCTAGCATATAGTCTACGTAGCTGGCGGTTTTTTGATGTGTGTTTTTTTTTCTTCTTTTGTGGTTTGCAAAGTAAAAATTACAGCCGAGCGATACCCTGAACCAAGGTCGAAAAAGAAAACGATGAGAGTGGGGCGTGTGTAAAAATGATAAATGGCACAGCAAGAAATCAGAAATGCAAGTGCGGGTGAGAAAATATAAAAATAGTGGGTTAACATTTTTGTAATTATATTTTTTTAGCGATTTGTACTCAGTGTCGAAAGAACCTTACGAAACAAGCACATACCCCTGAAAGCAGTCTGCCACAATCAGATTTTGACGAACTTACAGAGCATCTAGGTGAGCTTACTCTGGTAAGTATGACATTCTATGATTTACGTCTACAAACTACAAAGATCTTTCCTTGTAATATTAGAAACCGTACGCAGCTAGTTTGAATCCAATTTTGAGTACGTTCAAACTGTTTTATGTTTGTACTGACAACAAGAAGAAGAAGAAGTATTTTGGGGTCTTACTTCAGACTTTTTAATTTTTTTTTTAATTTTGTGAAATTTTAGGCAGAAACTGCAGCAGCCCAAGTAATTCATGTTGATGAAAGAAGAGAGAGTATATTCATCCCAGAATCGGATTTGGAAGGTTCTGATTTTGAGAACACACCGCATAGAAGCCAAGTAGACACGGCAAAAGAGCCTTTAAAAAAGTTAAACGATTTTTTAGCCTCTCGTGATGTTAGCCCTGTTCGACATAAGTTGTCCGTTCCATGGGAAAGTGCTAACGAGCGCACAAAGAGAAGGTACAGCCGTAAAGCAAAACAAAGTGTTCAAGAGGTTCTTGAAGTAATTGCTCCAGGACAAAGTGATAAATTATTGACCACATTAGGTGAAAGCTTACCATCTGAGAGAACACAAGCCGAAGAAGAAATTTTACAAGCCTTAGCAGAAAGCTATTTAAACGCAACTCACTGGAGCACGAGAAGACAAATTTTGTCCATCTTGGCAGATAAACTATCGCTTAAGGAACTGACGCATTACATTCCCGGGGTGACGCCTTACAGATTTAACATCGCGCGGCATCATAGACTGTTACATGGTAGAGGTGCGATCGTACCTACTGATATCACTAGGCGTATGAAGGTTGATTTCGCCAAAGTTGATCATTTTCTCGACTTTATTACAAGTTCTCATATTGTACAAGACATGCCATTTGGAGAAAAGATGCTGAAACTTTCAACAGGGGAGGTGATTAAAACACCTAATGTCGTACGGATGCTAATACCAGAACGGATAACACAACAGTATTTTCAGTTTTGTACCGAGACCAATTTCACTCCGATGAGCAAGCGCACACAACTCCGAGTACTAGACGTTTGCTCTGCGTCAGTGCGCACCTCTCTGCAGGGCTTGGATAACTTCTCTGCACAAGGCAGTAAGGCAATAGAAGATCTTAGCGAGATAGTAGACAAGATAGCAGATCAAGCAAAGTCACAAGCCTGGGCCAAGGAAATGAAACAAACACTTCGGTCTGCCAAACAATATCTGCGGTCTGATTACAAGGTAAGGCTATCTTAATATTTGGTTATTCTTTTAGTAGATTGTTAACTTTGTACTTTGGCTGGATTGATGCTAAATTTAAGCGAATTGGTCATAAACATGAAAGTCAACTTTCTCTGGCTGCATTGTACTAACTAGTATTGAGGCTAACCCTCGAAACATTGATTAAGCGGAAGCTATCTTCAATTTGCGCCCTTTAAGCGGTTCGGACAAGCTTTAATAAGTTTCAAACTTCTTTTACTACTTTTAAAAGATTTTACGCTAAAGTAGCTGATATTAATAACGAAAAATCATAGTAAAAATTATGATGATAGTGATAACTATGATGATGACGACGATAGTAATCTTTCACATTTTAGATGCACGTTACAATGGAATCAGAAGTTGCCGATCACTGTTTAACGTTTTCCCTAAGTGATCCTAAAAATAGTTGTTTTCAAGGAAAGTGTAACCATAACCACGATGAGGTCTGCTACGAATGCAATAAATTAACCGGGGTGCTGTCTACCATAAAAGAAGCGTGCGCAGAACTTCAGTCTGAAGAAGAAAGAGATGACAGTATCTGTTTAGTGGCTCAAGCTGAAAAGGACATTTTGGCATGGAAAGCTCACCAACTCCGAACAGTTAACCAGGATCAAGCAAAACATGACGTGTTAGATGTCATATTTCGGAGTTCAGCATTATTAGTTATGGACTGGGCGATGAAATTCTTACCGCGAAAGTTTCGCTAATCACAGTGTGACCGGTTCGCCAAACAAGGTATTCCATGGCACATCACAGTGGCTTTTACAAGATCAGAAGCAAATGCCCCGCTTGAGAAGCTCACTTTTGTCCACCTGTTTCAGAGTTGCCCTCAGGATAGCGTTGCAGTAACCGCCATTTTACAAGATGTTATCGAAATGTTAAAGGAGCGTCGGCCACAACTGCAAAAAGTGTATTGCAAACAGGACAACTCAGGATGTTATCATTGTGGGTTAACAAATGCAGGAAGCAGGTTGAACAGTCTTTCTGATATCAAGGTGGAGAGATATCAATCTGGGCGTGGCCCAACCGTTTTTGACCCCTAAAAGAGACCATTTTAAACTTTGATTACGTGAATGGAGTAAATAAAATGAGTTGAAAAATATAGATATTTTTATATTTCAGATCCACAAGGGAGCAAGGGAAAAGCCGACCGCCAGGCCGCAACAATTAAAGGACATATCAATGTGTACTTAAACGAGGGGCACGATGTGAACAACGCTGCACAGATGAAAGAAGCCATTGAATCAAATGGCGGTATTCCTGGCGTTATTGTGAAGTATGTGAAGCCTCCCGAACTATCTGCTGGCAAAAACGTGATCAAATGGGACGGAATTAGTACGCTTAATAACTTCCAGTTTTGTCCAAATGGTATCACAACATGGAAGGCTTATAACATCGGGCCCGGAAAGCTGGTACCATGGAAGGACATTCAAACCGATGGTATCTTTCCTGCTACACTTGAAGTTTTGGAGCCTCCTGATACCCGCTCTCAGCAGTCAAGCTTTAGAAAAATCAATCCTAGAAAGGAAGTGCAGCAAAAATCTTTGTCCGAACAACGGCTGAGTAGTCCTGACCAGCAAGAGACAGCAGGACAAGACATGGATGTAGAAAAAGAGAAAGAGGAAGTAAGCGGCCTTTTTACCTGCCCAGAAGATGAGTGTATTCAGACATTCCAGCGATCCTCAAGTTTGCAAGCACATTTAGACGAAGGAAAGCACAAGCGCGCGCTAGAAAAAGAAACACTGTTTGACAAAGCCAGAAAAGGATACGCTGCGAGAATAACTGGAGAGCAAACGAAAGTTCCAACTTTTGGTTTCTACGCGGCATCAAAAATCTCAGTTGATAAACTACACTCCACACTTGAGATGGGATGGGCTCTTAAAACAACAAGGAGTAGAACCCAGTTTACAGAAGAACAAAGAAAGTTCCTCACAGAACAGTTTCTCATCGGGGAGGAGTGTGGTAAAAAGGCAGATCCACAACAGGTATCGCAAGAAATGCGAAGAGTGAGGGACGAAAAGGCTGCTCGTATTTTCAGTGGAAAGGATATTCTTTCGCCACAGCAGGTGGCAGGATTCTTCTCAAGACTGGCAGCAAGGATTCGAAAAACGTCAGCAACATCGAACGAAGAAAGTGGAAGTGAAGACGAAGAGCAGTGTGCAGTCGAGGCAGAGGCCTTACATTCGCACCTAAAGGAAGTTGTCAGCGAAGAAATTGCTTTACGTCACCCCATTGTCGCCCTTTCCCGTAACATTTGCAGTTTGGTTCATACAAAGAAATTATCTACCTTAACAGTTGCAGTGCTAAGGGACATTTGTGAAGATATTGGCTTAAACGTGGATGATATCACGGAGAAACGAAAAAAGCCACTTATAAGTCGTATTACGCAGGTCGTTAAGGAGTGCTCTTGTGCTCGAGTGTAATCGACTAGAACAATCGAGCTAAGAAATTGTAAGCTTGTATCCTGTTATAACACCAACCTCGTTCCCAGGGTTCTCTCCTACCGGGTAGGAGAGAACCCTGGGAACGAGGTTGTTATAATACGTGATTATAACTTAAGTTTTCAGGGACCACGGGTCAGGCAAAATGTAATGCCCTAATGCATCAATCAATTCCAGCTGCACCTAGTCCCCCCCCCCCCTGCGGGCCACTGTGGGATATTTTCCCCCTTGTCGGTCCCGGGGGTAGGGCATTAGCAAATTTTGCCTTGCCCGGAGGTCGGCCATTGGCCAACCCCGGACCACCCCGGAGGTCAGCCCGCGGGGACTGTACGCAGCTGCAATTGATGCATAAGTTCACAGCTCAGATAAAGAGACTGTACTTTTAATGCCCACTCGTTTAACCGGAATTTCCTTGCTTCTGAACAATGAACAACAAGAACAAATACAAGATAAGGCAAAGAATTGCGAACCAATTTTGTTTTTCAGCAGAGGCTTTGTACATATTAGCAGATTGCGTGGTTTTTGACCAGCCAAAAAAACTGATAGCAGCTCTGGTGACGAAAAAGAAGTTAGTTACCCTAACTTTTTCTTTTAACGAAGGATTGATATGTGAAAATCAGTAGATTTTCAAAGGCATGCATTTTCTCCGTCATTTCTAAAAAAATGATGGTATTAGTTTCGGTTTGATATTTCTAGATATATGTGTGATTATAGTTAAAGTTGAGATCATTTAATTTACCCACATAAATTTAATTTAAAAATTGCAGCCTCTGATTTAGACCGTTTTAGTGAAGGATTCACTTTGTTAAGTCAGGAAAGTTTCTTAAAATGCCGAAAAGGAGTTTGAGGAGAATTTCATTTCCGGTTCACTTGTCACACATATTGCGTGACAAATGGAATATTGTTATACGAGATGCGGGATGGAGAGTTAAAAGTGCCCATGGAATGAGACTTATCAAAACTAAAATTGAAACGGATGAGTATTGAAAGCTCAAGCGAAGGGTACACAAGTGAGACTCATTGAAGCGCGTCAAAGTCCAAACGTTGCCCGAGTCACAGCACGGAGTCACTTTTAGTCTTTGCAGACTCAATTGTAGACACGCCGAAGTATGGTGCGTTTCTTGCTGCTTTTTCTTGACATTGGACTTGATTACAGGTAAATTTGGTTGATCTTAAAGCTTATGGGAGATTCTTTAGTCAAAAGAAGTGAAAAAATATGTACCGTTCGATGCCGTAGCGGTGACTTCCGTTTCGCCTGTTTCGGTAATGTAAGACATTCCAAGATGGCGGAAGGCGGAATTGTGCTCACTTTAAGAAGTATTTGTCAAAAAAGTACGAAAGATCCCAAACATATAAGCTTGTAGATAGTTAAAACTATCCTTTTAAAGAATACCAAAAGGTTTTCTGGTGTGATTCGTTGCGTACCGCGGGCATTTCTGACATGTTGTTTTGACCAGCCATTGCACCAAATTCGAGAAGGATGTTGGTGTGCTTCTTTAAAAAATTATATATTTTTTGTGGCCAGCGTTAGCGAGCTGTTTTGGGAATCAGTGGACTGAAATAGCTTTAGATTAACTGGATATCCGTGAAGACACCTTAAAGCAATGGACTAAATGACTCAATAACTTCGTGAAAGTTGGCAATTTTCAAGGTTATTACGACGAAAAATACCGTTTACAGTTATATTCAAATTTCTTTGAAACGAAACAATATTTAGCCAAATAAACCTTGATTTCATATGTATAGTACCTGGGCCTACCAATGTACAAATAATTGGCGAAATCAAATTTTGAGCTCTGTCTGCCCGATCTTTGATCCTTACTGACATCAACTCTTAATCTCCTTTTAAAAAAACACTCTAGCATTGCTATTTAGAGCTCTACGTGAACATTGATATTTACTGAATAATTATCTTCAGTCGACAAACTGTCCAAGGTACATGCACTTAGCTTAATTGACCTGCACATGCAACATACATTTGTATATATATATAAATACTCATAGTTCATTAATGAACTCTGAACTATGAACTATTTTCCTTTACAAATTGCATAGCAACCGAGTTTTTAATGCTTTTAATAGTGCCAGTTTTGAAGTGTACGGGTCATTCGTTAAATTGCCCGATGAGTGTGGTCATCTTTTGACCATATGAAACATCTGTAACATTAAACAAATGACTGAAGTCTAATCTAGATTCAATGAATTATATCAAATGTGCATACTAGAAAAAATATGATGGATAAAAGCTGCTAAAAAGATAAATGCTAGCCAGCTAACAAGTCAATCTCAGAATGCTAATTCCACTGCAATACTGAATTACGCAAAGAAAGTAAACTAAAAGTACCGATGAGTGTAAAGTAAAATAGGGTCATTTGATCCCAAATTTGTCATCTTAATTCCAGGTAACACCCATTGCATGTACACTTTCTCCACTTATTTTTACATTTTTATCAGCTGTTCCTATTAAATTAGCAATTTCACACTTCTGCTGTGTTTAACTATGTGCTGAATGTACAGGTATATTTCTTTTTACCAATGCATTAAGAATGGTCATCAAGACAAAAGTGTTCTGCTTTTAAAGTTATGTTTTTCTCCATGCACATAATGCAAAGTCATATAATGGCCACCAATCCAATACTTAACCTTGCGTGTGTTTTATCTTTGCTAAAGGTCCAACTATTCAAAGTTGTGTCTTTGTTACTTTTTGTATCATTAAAAATACATTTGAGAATGACATTCATCTTTGTTAAAACGTGGGCTTTGGGATAGTTTTCTATACAAAACTATATCAGACTTACAGTCAGTCACTACAAAATGCAGACTTAGGTAGTCTGTTTTTCATGAAAATCTGAGCTTATCGAATATCTGGTACGACTAAGACTCTTTACTTTTCTACTTTGGCAGAGAAATCACAATTTCCAAACAAATGTCAAATTTTCTTTAAAAAATTTTATGACAATTCTTGAAAATTGGACTTGAATATTAAGAGAGCTTATATTAAGCAGTAGACGTTGTTGAGGTCACGAACGCCGACCGAAAGTCGCTCGCGCCAGTGTGAATATAGTACAGTACTACACGTGTGTTTACGTCCATGAGGTCAGGTTGCCGAAGCCAGAACGCCACTTTTGAAGTTCAAGATTACTCAAAAGTTCATGTCTCGGTAAGAATTATTTGGTAAGGTCCGATATTTTCGTTACAGTAAATTGATGGCCTAAGACCAAGGAAAATTCTTGTTCTTAGTCTGCAGTCTGCATTTTGTATTGACCAAATTAATAGCAGTTGAGTTTAAATATCAAATGTTTTTTTAGCCGTTATGGCTCTTTTCCCTTCGCAGGTGGTTGACTTAAGTATGTCCTTATAGACAAAGCTAGACTCAGGCACAGTGACCCACCCACGATGGTTACTAGATGTGACCTGATGAAGCGAGGATGGCGATGAAATGGGTGTGATTGTGACGTAGAAGGAGGGGTGGATGAATGACCTGTGGATGACAAAGGTGCTGAATGAAATGATATTGGTGAGGCAGATGGGATAGGTGAATCTACTGCTGTGGATGCTAAAACTATTGATGGTGAGGATGGTGGTGAGGTAGAAGACCATGGGATTGGTGAATGTGTTGATAGTACTGTTGCCGATGCTGATGATGTTGATGAAGAGGCGGATGTGATGGGTGAATGTGCTAGTGTTGCAGATGTTGTTTGTGAGACAGATGGGATGGAATGTGATTTTGTACTTTTAGATTTTTTAGTTTTACGTTTACTGACGTCGTTACTGGTAGTCGTACAGGTGGTAGTTGTTTTCCATGAGAGAGCCTTTCTTTTTTCCACAAAAATTCTGTTCCCACCTGCAAAAAAAAGTATAGCACACATTGCTCATTCACTGGTATGCATATGTTTATTATTAATCAAAACTATTGTTGACTAGATGCTAACCTTCAGCTCACGAAATTTAGTTTTCCTATCTGCTGTTGCTTCTGGGAGGCTGACCTATCCAAGGCCAGTGTTCAGGTATTTTGATTTTTTACAATACTCTGGAAAACATTTCTATCATAGCAAAAAAAAGAACTATTCATTAATATAAAAAACCTGAACTGTTCTTACCATTAAGTGTGAACTGGAGCACTCTGGTGGCCTGAATTTATGGAGTTTAAAGAATTACAGTCAAACCTCAATGCATGGCCACCTCTCCACTGCAGCGGCCACTGCCAGTATCCTTTCCCCACAAAATTGGAATCATTATTACACCCCTACCTTCCCATAACTGCCTCCTCACTACAACGGCCACTTAATTATCTCTGTCCCCAAGGAAGCCATTGTAGAAAGGTTCAACTGTATTATAAGGACCAGTAAGAGGAATTGTTCAGTGTAAGCAGAGGTATTGCAAAGAGTTGTTACTGAAGCCAATGTATAATTTTTTCTCATGCTTTGAGACAACAAATCAGGGCTTCTGATAGGTCGCGGGGAAAAAAAGTCAAATTTCGCGAGATTTTTAGGGACAAATTCGCCGGCTAGAATTTCGTGGGAACTTTCCGTGCAAACTTCGCCAAAAAGCAATCGGTAAAAACCGGCCGATTTTGTGGTTATTTTCAAGGCAAATTTCGCTGGAAATCGATCGGTTTTGCGCTGATGAGGCCACTGTTTTTAACGTTTTTTTTAACAGAGGTTATCATTTGCTCTTTCAACAACAACACGTTCAAGAAATGAACCAATAGCAAAGCCTTTAACATCTTGGCTAGTGCCTAGTTTTTCGCAACGTAATCATACCTGGTAGTTTCAGGTCTTTGTTTTCACGTTGCAGTGACGAAGTTTCAAGATAAATTTGCAAGTTTACAGCAAGTAAATAGTACGGTGGCCCGTAATAATAATAATAATAATAATAATAATAATAATAATAATAATAATAGTACATTTATATAGCACCATAAATAATAGTTATTCATAGCGCTTTACAATTTTAAACCTTGTACTAACAATAAAATAGTTTTTACAATTTCATCCTACTATACTAAATTCTACAATTATATACAATTAAAAAGTAATTTCTAATTACATCTTACACACTACAAAAAAAATAGGAAACAAAAGAAATACATAATAGTATGCAAAATAATAAAGCAAATGCCCATCTAAAGAAAGGCCATTTTAAAAAGCATTGTCTTCAGTCGTGATTTAAATGCTTGCATATTTGACGACATGCGCAACAAAAAAAGGCAGTTCATTCAATAGCTTAGGAGCGCATGCAGAAAACGCTCTATCGCCATACGTAACAGTTCTAGATTTAGGAACACTAAGCAGAGGTTGAGACTGAGATCTAAGATTGCGGGTATATTTAGGCTTATTAAGTAGCTCAGATATGTATTCAGGAGATAAATCATTAAGTGCTTTGTAAGTCAGCAGTAGCACTTTAAACTTTATACAATAGGAAACAGGGAGCCAACGTAGTCTAACTAGAACGGGAGTTATATGATCATATTTACAAGTAAAAGTTATAATGCGAGCCGTAGTATTTAGTACTGACTGCAGTCTGTCTATTTAGTATTTTGGAAGTGCAATAAGTAATGCATTACAATAGTCCAGCTTTGATGAAACAAATGCATGGACTAACGTCTCAGTAGAATTATCGTCTAGATATTTTCTGATCTTGCTAATATTTCTAAGATGGTAATGAGATGATTTGCATAATTTGCTTACATGTTCCCCGAAAGATACAGTTTGATCGCACAAAACACCTAGATTGCGTACAGTATTGCTATGCTCTATACACTCACTACCAATCTGAACACATGACACAGGAAGCGGAGACTAGTAGGTGTAATCATTGTTAAAAATGTTATTAAAATAAAATCTATAATGCAATGGATTCAGAAGAAAACAAGGTAAGACGAGCCGAAATTAATAAAAATGATTTGAAAAATTGAAAAAGTGAATGATTGTACTCTTCTTGGGAGTGATGGGATATCCCCGCTTCTTGTTTTCGCTTTGCTCGTTGTAAATACGTCCCCACCATACTATCTGAGAGCCTGGCACAGGCTAGAGTAGCTGGTACTTTACGAAAAATTTGGATCACATATTCGGGTCTTCCCTCCCCGCCAAGGGCCGTTACTGGTAAGAACGTTTTGATTCATTTTGCTGAAAAGAATTATCAAATATCATTATGTAATGTTTTCTAATTCTTGCAACTGTAAACGGGTTAATAGCTGTATAAAATCAGGCTCTTCAAATGAGACACGTTCACACTAAACTAAAGGCTTCTGCGGGACTACATTTTAGTTCACCCTAAAAAATTGAGAGGGGGAGGGGGGGGCTAGGACTAAAAAAAAGAGGCTAGTAGAGAAAAGTGTGGGCCGGGGTCAGAGGCTAAGATTGGAAAGTAGAAGAGACTGGTGAAAACGATATATCATGGTTTGCTTGGGTTTCCGGAGACTTTGAATCCCAAAACTAAAGTTTAGAACTTTATATACAGTCATAATAGTCATCTTGAATTCTATATGTGTAGTGTAAATGCATTGTTTTTTCGAATTCCCAACTCCTGCGTATAGCGAATATGGAAACTCTTACGAATCCGGAAAAGTTTCGTCTAGTGTAAACGTCTGGAAAGCGATCAGGGAACGTTGGTCGGCAGGCAGTCTTGAAGAAAGGGGTATTTGTAATGCAGAAAAGACGCTAAGTTCATCAATGTAAATCAAATTTTATTTTTTAAAAGATGATGCTGATGTTACATATGCCAGGGCCCGCTGTCCGAAGGCTGATTAGCGCGAAGGCAGGGTTATATTTTAACTGAGGTTTCTTTTCCTCTTGTTAAAAAGTATTTTCTCCGATAATTTTCTCTATTTTTTTTTTTCAGAGCATGCAGTCAAATTGTATTAAAAAAAGAATTATACTGAAAGTGCTTTTAAGGCTCTCATATCCGATTTAAATTTAATTTGCACTAACCCGGGGTTACCTTAACCCTGCTTCGATCAACCCGGCCTTGAAAGACAGTAGAGTTATTTCCATAAACCTTTTAATTGCGATGTCAAAAGTACATTGCAATGTCTGCTTTACGCTGCAGTGCTAAGTGTATGAAATCCGCTACGTCTACATATATACCCATTCATCTTAAATAAGGCCTGTTTCAAATGTCGTGCTAATGCCATTCTAAGCTAGCTCGACTTCAGCACACATGTTAAAATTCAGTCTTTGCAACCTAGATGTAAGTTCCAATTTCTTTCTTTTTGAACTGTAACCGACATATATTTCTAAATACACGTATGACTAAATGTGTTTTCTTAAACCTTTGTCAACTTTCATACAAGTTGCTATAATTCTAAGTTGCTATAATTCCTAATTTTGTAATTGTAACACCCATGTAATTTTCAAATCAAGAATGGAAATCTAATGCGTTTTCATAAACCCAGTTTTTACTAAAAGTGTTTGCAACTTTTTTGACAAGTCGCAATTTCTTTGAATTGTAACCAACAAATATTTACAAAATTATTCCTCGAGCCCGAATGGGCTCTGAGTCAATAGCCCATTCGGCCTTCGGCAACTTTTATGCAAGTCACAATGTCCTTAATTTTGAACTGTAACAAAAAAAAAAAATACATTCACTTTTCTGGAAGGGACCATGGGCAGAAATTGAGGACAGTATGGCCGCTAAGCATGCGTCTGACTCTAATAAGGATTTGTATGGCAAGAGAGAAATTCTTAATAATTACATTGAACTGAAAAGGAATTTCACACCTGCGAACGTCGGTATGTTATTGTGGTAGAATGAGGCTACTTTGTGCGAAGTTTTGAGGTCCTTACTCTCGGTTCCTCGGCAAATTACGCCAGCGCCATACAACAGTCATATTGATCTCGCCATACAAACACTGTATATCAGCTAAAATTACCAATATTTAAGAAGAAAAGGGGCGGCCGAAAACCTGCGAACGTCGCGGTACAAACTTGGGCCTATTATCTTTCATTTTAAATGATTTCTACGGCAGAATGTTGCCTTCAAAAAGTTATTCAAGAAGTTAAAGATATTGATGAATTAACGAGCCAATGGCGCCCGAAATCGCCGAAGAAATGAACAGTTTTTGTCGCTTCTGCAGCACAAAACAAGATTCCGCCATTTTTTGAACATCAAAGTCGGAAAAGCTTACATGGAATATATTATTTTACGTGGGAAAACTGCTGTTTTGCATAGATAGCAGCCTCCGATTGTATTTTTTATCTGGCTATGGTGTGATGTCTGTGACAACCCGTGACAACCCGTGACAACAAGCGTGACTAGAACGTATGGGTATGCGCAACTCTTTTTTTAACAAAAGAAAGCCTTTGGTTCTTTTACATTGCCTTTAAAGATGTAAAATATACTTTAAAGCTTGATTCTTTACTTTTAACAACAATTTTGACATTTCTGTGCCAATATTTTGAAAGAAATGGAAAACAGGCATGAGCCCGCAAATTGACCGCTGGCTGTCTCTGATTTCTGCCCTACTTCTCTATAATGAACCCTTTGGCTTCTAGTACTGCCTGCCCTCCTTCAGGAAGAAATGGAAGGGTACTGGCAGGCACAGTAATGGCAGAAAAAGAAAAGTTTTGATCGTTTTCCTTGAGCATTGTTTGAGGTAATGGAAGTAAACATTACCCGAGTATTTGACTACTTTGCCTGTCTTTTCGGTACGTTCTCTTATTCCCACACTTTTCACTATCATCTTGTCTGTCAAATTAAACGCTGTGCTACACTGTTCGCATCGTTGTACACTCTTGGGGCACAGTTTGTTGTCGTCCCTGCTCACTAACTGGTACTGTTTTCCAGTAATTCTTTCTGGGTCCAAGAAATCCAGCGCAAGACCTTTCGACGAGCTTTTTGTAACCTACAAGAAAAAAGGTTTCCGTCAATTACATTATTCCACAAAAGGACCTATTGGTTTTCACGACAAGGGCCTATTTCATCCTACTTGTGATTCCCATAATGATGGGCCGTCTAGGTATCCATTTCATATTATGCTGCAGTGTTACCAGAAAATTGGTGAGAAACACAACACGACCAATATTACGATGACGAAAATAACAAATCAATAAACGAAAAAAAAGCACAAATATACACACAAATAAACTACCTGAAATAGAATGGTTAGATAGTCAAAAAAGGGACCGAGAAACAAAATTAAAACTAATAAACATACAATTGAGATTGTAAAAGTAAAGGAAATAGAGTTACAATTACCTCCCACTGATTATTATTGTTGCCTTTGTAGAGTCGCAAGGGAGTCACCACTTGAGGCTCTGGATCTGTTGTAGTTAGAAATAGCTCCGGCCTTGGAAGGTTGCATCTTCGTACTTTCTTTGAAGGAGCTGCCTTGAGACCAGCAGCACTCGGCTTCTTGTAAGTGTTGTGAGATTTGGGTGTAAATTGCCGAAAACTCGACAAATGCTGCGCCTGTCGCTGGGGACCCCATTTATTCCAGGTGACGGGATCGACCAGGAAGTGTTCATATCCAAGAGCAAGGTGATATTTGCCCAAACCTCTTAGGGCCCTTTCCTCCTCTGCGTAGAATTCCTTGGTCCAACCTTCCAGTGTTTCCGTCACTTTGGCAACTTCTTTTGGCACTTCACTCTCCCGCAAGCTTTTCTTTTGTAGCTTATGTTTCAATTCAAGCCCGTTGGTATAGAAACGCCCGCTTAGCCCAAGTTCTTGACGAGCTGAATAAATGAGGCAGGTCTTGAATTGTTCAGAGTGGTGCTTGTCAAACCATTCATAAAAACCTGGGACCAGGCCATCCCAGACGTCCTTCAAGCTCGCTAGCTTTGCTCCATAGTCAGCTGAGTCTTCTGAGTCGGCTAGACCGTTTTCCAATAGTATCTGTTCTTGACATCCGTAGATGTCAGACATAATTCTCCTCTGTGTCCTTTCGTTACATCCCATTGTTTTCAGCTTTTGGGCATCTCGTTCTTTCATGTGTTGTGTGCACCACACGTTTTGAGCCTCCTCAAAAATATCTGTCATGCCTTTGGCTATTGCCTTGTCGAGGTCATGACCAACCTTCTTGATTTTAAGTAGCTCTGGCTTGGCAATGGCTAATCCACCTGCAAACCTGCATAGGTTTCGTGGTCCTTCTTAAAGTGCCAGAAACTAGGGCCTGGAAATTCAGGGTGCTTTCCGTTTCGGTGGTTTATGAGGGCCTAGTGACTGAAAGTGGTGTCTGTAAGCCACAAACCATCAACTAGTTCGAAACTTGTGTCCACTTGCAATATACTGTTCCCAAGTACACAGAATCTGTGTACATCGTCTAGCACATGTTTTCGAATATTTACACATGAGTATTGTGTTTTCGTAAAGGACAGTATTTATGCTTGATACACTCTTAAGGCTCGATATCAACGATTCCGCTTCGCTGTGCTTCTCAGCAGTATCCCGTGTTTCTTCAGATGTTTTCTTGTGGAACTTTCGGTTTTCTATCATTTTTGGTCCTGAGATAGTTTCACTCACAGTTTGACAAACTTGTTTTGACATTGTAGCGTATGTGTTATCAACAGACAGTCCTTGGTCTAGATACTCATCAATCGTCTCAGAAACTACGGGGTCTTTCCAGAAATAAGCTGATGCCGTACGTTTCATGGCGTTACCATGGCGCTGCAAGACAAACTCTTTAGTTCCACCTGCCCACTCATACATGACCAAATACCAAGGCTTTGGTTCTCGTTCATTGACTGCTCTAACTGTGACAAAAGTCCTTGACAATGACGGGTTGGCTTTGTTCGTTTTGTAATATCTGGTAAGTTCATAAACCTCCTCCGTCGGAACATAATCCTTTTTGTAGCCTTTTGCTGCTTTTCTATTGGCAAAGAACACCCCATTTTGAAAATGGACTGTACGAGACCCAGAGGTACTGCTGTATTGGTAGTAGCGCTTTGCATTTCCTTTGGAAATGTATGCTCCGTTATCATCTGCTTCTGCAGAAGCTATAGGTATCACCCTCTGATCGAGAGTAAAAATCTTATCCTCCCTTATAGCAGAGGGCTTGTGTTTCAAATCTAGTTCTTCAGGATTGTCAAGCAGGATGTTTAGGATAGTACAATGGTCCATATCGTCATTCCCTTTCTTTGATGCTTGACCCTCTCATGAAAATGATCAATGATCAGTTCGGTTACGTGAGAACATCTTGGCAGGATAATTGGGTGTTTAACAGCAAATGGTAAGGTAGAATTTTCCAGCCTCCCACCAACTCTTATCAGTCCTTGACCATCGATGGAGGGATCCAACCTTAACAAGCGGCCTTGCTTGGTGAGCTTGGGTTTCTGCTCCTTATGACTTAGGCTTGCAATTTCATTCTTGAATGCTGAGCGTTGGAGCTCCTTGAAAATAAGGATTTCAGCATCTTGTCGTTCAGCTACTGTGGTAGTAACTGTCTTTGGCTTATTCTTCTTGCAGGGGCTTCGCAGGTATGAGATCACTCCGACTGCCCTAGTCCAGTTAGAGAACCTTGACACGTAATCGATTAGGTTGAAAGATTGTTTAACCTCAGTAGTGCGTACAGTTGCCTTAACTTCCGGGTCTCCAATTCGAATATTGGGAATCTCTTCTTTACTGTTCGGGATTTCTTTCTCCTAAAGGAACGCGGGTCCACTGAACCAGTTGGACCTCATTAGCTCTTCAGCACTTAATCCTCTCGAGGCGTGATCTGCAGGATTATTCTTGGTGTCGATGTGTCGCCATTTCGTGGTGTCGGTGTTGCATTTGATTATCTGTACTTTGTTGGCGGTGGAATCTTTTGGCGTTATTGTTTATGTAACCAAGTACTACCTTGGAATCGGTCCAAAAGAACTGTTTAAGATTGGCGTAGTTTAATTCTTCTTGAAGCATCACGCCAACTTTTGCGGAAACTACTGCAGCGGTGAGTTCCAATCTTGGTATAGCAGTAATCTTTAATGGAGTGTCACGGGACTTTCCCATCACTAATGAGACGTTCACGTTTCCGTCTTCATCCTTCACTCTAAGGTAGGAACATTGTCTGTATCCTGGTGTGCTTGCATCAGCAAAATTGTGTAACTCATAGCTCTTCTTTTGGCTCATCGTCTTCGGCTCGAAGCATCTTGGAATTTGTAACTCCTTGAGACGCAGGAGATCAAGTTTCCACTGCTCCCACCTTGTCCGAACGTCTTCAGGCAAAGGACCATCCCAGCTGACACCTCTCCTACATATTTCCTGTAGTATCTTCTTCGCTCTCAAGACCAAGGGGGTTAGTAATCCGACAGGATCATAGACAGAGGCAACTGTTGCTAGTACTCCCCTTCTAGTTAAGGTTTGGTCCTTTAGAACGATGGAGAAGCCGAAGCAGTCTAACCCCACTGACTACTGAATACCAAGAACCTTTTCTATGGGGAGTTCTTCTGACGGCAGATCCAGGATGATGTCTATGGTGGCCGAGGACTGCCACTCAGTTTTCAGGGCATTAATTCCTTTTTAAGCGACTTACCATTTTCACGTTTGACTACAACCCCTGTGCTGAGGATATGGCCTTTATATGTTATTTTCACAAGACCTCTGCAAAATGAATACAAATTAAGTGTTAAGTACAATTCAATTATTTGAACAGGCAAACGCCATATTAATAAAAATGAAATTTACAGTGCATGTTCGTAAGCATTCAGCTTGACTGCTTTAAAAAATAACTTAATGAAACACCCATAATCATTTAACTCATTTAATTTACTTATTTAGAGTTTTGCCAGCAGAAGGTAAATGGTCCCCTTTTTTCCTAACCCAGACCCCAATATAAAAGCAACCTTAGTATACCCAACCTACAAGTTAGTGAAGAATAACAACATAAACTAATGATCATTAGTTAATGACGTAGTAAGCTAGTATATGTTGTAGTTAACTTTTTATTTTCTTTTGTTTTGGGGTATGCAGCTAGTAATGCCTAATTTAAAAGGTTGAGACAAAAGAAAAATAAAATTACCTGGCCTGAAAACAATCATAAGTGCAGCATAATTATTATATAATAAGGGCAAAAAAAATTTGTATTTTATCTTTCTCAAAAATTAAAGGCTATTTCTGAAGTGAACGGTTTGTTGATATTGTTTCCCTGTGTATGCTAAAAGATTTTATAGAAGTGCCATGCTTGTGTTTATCAAGCACAATCTTTGCAGCGAGTTATATAACTGAAAAAACGTTGTGGCTAAAAAGTATAAACCATGAACGACGAGGTTTCAGGATTTATGGGTATATACGTTTGTTAGCGAAGCAAATTCAAAGTTACTTCGAAAAATAGATCTACATTGAAAAATGCCGGACCAAAGCTTTTTTTCAGGATGCCCTGCAAACAAATTAAATTAATAATGGGCGAGATTGAATAAGATTTGACCAAAACGAAAAATATCACTTCTAAACCACTTAAGTAGCTTTGAAAAAAAAAAACTTGAGAATGTTTAAAGACTTTACCTCCATTTCCAAGACTTTTTCGAGGTGTGGAAAACTGCTGGGTAAATTTCAAGAATTTTCAAGAAGCCAAGACTCTGTAAGAACCCTAGCCTGTATTTATAAAAAATCACACCTGCAACTTTCCCAGTCTCGTTAAATAATTTCGTCTGTTTATCAGAGAAGTGCTTAAGCACTTTTTGACATCATGCGACTGGCTTTTTAACTGTGGGCAAAATTCAATGAGCTGCACAAAAAAAGAAGCTAATGACTCATACCAAGGGAATTAACATTAAACGCCCAGCTGATTTCATTTAAAGAAAGGTGTGAAAATGAAACACATTCTGAAGGCATAATAACTTCATTTGCACTCTTTCTGCACTAAATGCTATCAGTCACTTATTATGATTTATTGTTTCACCCTTTTGGCCACACAACCTGTGAAGAGGGGAGTCCACGAACTTGTCTCTGAACTTAACATAGTTTGTTCTCAGTACCTCTCAGGGCTGCAAAAATCAGGGTCACAGTCACCTTTCCTATTCCACTCCCAGGTCTTATCTTTGTCAACTGTCTCAGGCATTAGTATTATTGTTAGTAGTAGTAGCAGTAGCAGTAGCAGTAGTAGTAGTAGTAGAAAGTGGTCTCAGAACATAAATTGCTTTGACTTAAACCCAACGCGTTTCAGCTTCTGCCTTCATCAGGGGTTTCTGCGGACTAGAGCAGATAGGCCCTTTATAACTTATGTTTTTAAACATTATTAATGTACACACTACTTTATAAAGGTCTTTTGCGCTTCGAAACTCTAGCCTATACATTTATTCAGTCCAGTAGGCTGTAGAGTTTTTAGCCTACTTTGCCAAAATATTTCCCTTTTGCAGAGTACCTAATTCTTTTTTTCGTTCAACAGTCAGATCAATACGTTTTTCCTCGACATATATATGCATATATCTCATATCAATATAAATACTTGTATTCTGGGTAGAATGTACTTCGTAGAGGGCTCAATTCATTTAATTGAAGAGCACTGGCTATATTAATAAGTTCACAGGAGCTCAGGCTTCAGGAGTAATCATCGATCATTTATTGCGACAGTGCTGTTTCGTATGCACCGAAATTATAGGACCACACTCATCAAGCAAGTTCAACTTCATATATATATATATATATATATGTGACTTAGGATGACTTACCAATTGATTAAAAGAGTTCCACTTCTCCGGTGAAATCTGGGAAAACTGGAGGGCTTTGTCCCACATTCCAGCTCGTTTGGCAGCCTCCTTCAGCAGAAACTATAACAATAAGGTATAAGGTCTAGCAGCAGATAAACTGAAGACTTCATCTACTATAAAAGTGCTCAATGGTAAAACCAGAGCTGTGAATATAATATAGATTTCTGGAGGCGGACTACGCATGAAACTCAGAGTTGCAAATAAATGTGTTTGAATTAGTCCGACTCCAGAAATCTATGTATATATATCTCTATATATAATGTCATTGGAAGATAGCCCCAGCCTCCGCTTCAGAGGTTAT